TTCGCTAACTTCCAGTCATCTGGGACCTCCTTGGTGAGCCAAGATTGTTGATAAATGATGGAGAGCAGCTTGGCAAACTCTTCCACCAGCTCCCTCATCACCCCAGGATGGATCCCTTCTGGTCCCATGGACTTGTGAGCATCTAAGTGGCTCAGCAGGTCACTAACTGCTTCCTCCTGGATAACAGGAGGGCTACTCGGTTCCCTGTTCCTGTCTACCAGCTCAGGAGGTCAGCTGTTCTGAGGGCAACCTGTCTTATTTGTTGAAAACTGAGGCAAAGAAGGTGTTAAGTACCTTATCCTTTTCCTCATCTTTAGTAACTATATTCCTCTGCATCTAACAAATAATGGCTGTTTTCCTTGCTCCTCCTTTTGCTATTAATGTATTTATAAAAACACTTGTTATTATCCTTTACGGAAGTGGCCAGAGTAAGTTCAGATTTTGCTTTTGCCATTTTCATTTTCTTTCGACCTAGCAACATCCTTAAACACTTTCTGAATTGTCTGCCCTTTTTTCCGAAGGTGATAAACCCTCTTTTTTTCCTTGATGTGCTGGTGCTGACCAGAGCACTTGGCTGTGTCAGGCTAATGCCGCAGGATCCTGGACTGCCCGGGTGCTGGGTACACCCTTTAGCTGCAGAGGTCTTGCTGCTAGAGATCTGTAGGTGTAATGGATTTGGGGTGCTGATGAGGGGTTTTGGTGGCTGAGGTGTCAGTGTTGTCATGATACGGTGTGGTTTCTGCAGCACTTCTGAAGCCAGAAAAACTTTTGGTTTGAACACAAAGCCTCTCTCTAACTGTAGTCCATGGTTGATTTTTCTTCCTATAATTTACCAGGAAAAGGAAGATGGCCCTCAGAACTTGCTCACTGCCTTTGGCACACTGACTGATTGCTGCTTGAAAATCACCAAAGATGGCAAGTTATAGAAATTTGGCTTCATTGGCTACAAGTCTGGAGATGAAGCTCAAACAACACTGTACCATTTCAACAGAAGTGTTGTAGAGACTTCCAGAGTCACAATGAGTTGATCCTTAAACACATCTTCATTTGATTCTTGAGAAAGTTTGTCATTGGAGTTGTTCAGTGGTCTTAGAGGTGAATAGCTGGGGGCCAAGGAAGCCTGAAGTCCTGCAGCAAAACAGCCAAGTCTGATGTCAGGCCTTACTACTGGATTCAGCTGGCCTGTGTTCATGCACTGCCAGTGTTGGCTGGAACAACAGTGTCAGATGGGGAGCTGTCATCATCTGAACTTTGGAACTTGAGCTTGTTTGTTTAATTCAACTTACTGTTCTGGACAGAGAATGACTCATGATGAATAGGACTATTTCTTTGTCTGTGCTGAAAGGAGCATAGCAAGCTGTTCTCATGTGTTGGGTGAACATGTAATTCTGTGCTTTAAAAGTGAATGTCTGAATGAAGTTGCCTGTTCTCCTGGTTACATCCCCTCCATCCCATCAGGGTGTAAGAAAGGAGTGAGGTTTATCCAGTTACAGAAGCAGGCTGTTGAACATCTGTTTAATGAAAAATCTGATTCTTTTCAGGTTGAGTTATGTGAATTTTGTCACCTTTAACTTGTACATTTTTTTTCTTTTTAATGTTTTGTTTTGTTCTTTAAAGTACTTTTAAAACATCAGTTGCAAAAAAGCAAGAGGAAGACTAAGATCTTGAGAAGCCTTGAGTCACTCTCAGTGCTCACGGTGAGTGTGAAATGAACTCCTCCTTAAGGGATTTTTATTTTTTTACATTGTTGAAAGTGATATCTTTAAATTCAAAGTCACTACTAGCTCTTTGTGTCTGCCTTCACAGCTTGTCTGCTTGGTTTCAGTTTCAACAGCTGGAAGATGTAACTATTCCAGGAGTTGGTGGCGGTTCTCCAGAACCAGTCTCAGTTGGCCACTTGGTCTTGGGCTCATGTGGACACTTTGGCAGAGGAGCTGGAGAAGGGAGGATCAGAGCCAGTGGCATATTATCTCGCTCTTGGTTCAGCTGAGCCTGAGAGGCTGATTGAAAATGGGAGTGAACCCTCTGAAGATGAGGAGGAAACTAAAGGTACCAGAAGGAACTGTCTCTCTTTGCTTGTCTTGGTGACTGTGCTGGTAGGACCGAGCTGGGAGTCCTACCTCAAGATGGAAACAGTGTAATTTGGAAGGTGGATTCTCAAGCGTGAGACTGATTCTGTATTCTGTTAGCTTGTGTCTGAAACATGTTTTCATGGTTTAGGAATGAAACTCCCCAGTTTAGTGCGCCACATCCCCCCGGAAATATTCCCAAACCCAACACCACTCTCTTGCTCCCCCCAGTTCCCCTCCCCTGTCCAGCTACAGGGGTGGAGTTGAGAACTAGAGGCACAAAAAGGTGAAAGTTACAGGTTGCTGTAAGAACAATTTTACTGCAAACAACGAGATAAGAAAATGAACAGTAACAGCAACAATACTAATAAAGAAAGTGTTCAGAGAGGGCGGTTTACATGCAAAATGCTCAGCAAGCCTGGGACAATGAAAGAGTGGTGGAAGGACTCTATGCCAGACCGCTGCATCTGCCATGCTTGCTCCCGACCAGAAACCACACCCCTTCTTCTTGGAAGTGAGAGAAAGTCTCTTTCCCCCACTCCTGAAAATGACATGAGTGGTATCGAATAACACAATGTCTTGGCCCCATGCCTTCCCACTGATCTGGGCCAGAACTAGGACAGCTGCTCATGGCCTAGCCCTTATTCTATACCGTCTAAGTCATGCCCAGATCCTATACCTTCCCACTATATACATATACATTTATACATATGTACACAAGCACAGGTACAATTCCATAGTCAATGGCCATCCCTCCAAGATGTCTGTTGAGTTCATTTAGTCCACGGTTGTGGCTTCTACCCCTCCTAGATCTCTTCCAGTGCAGGATGGTTGGTATGCTGTCAACTGCTTGCAAGCTGCATCAGGAGCTCACAACTGGTGTATCTGCAGCAGTCCATCTTCATTGTCCATGGTAGTCATGGCACGCAGTGACAGTGTCATTCAGCAACCGATACTATACAATTCAACATTACAGACTGTTCTCAGCCAAAAATCATATCCCCTTGAGGTACACGTCACGTTTCCCCGTCCCTCTGCATGACCCCCTAAGTGCATCCACTAGGTGCAAAAACAATCAGTCCCATGGATGGGTTTGCTTTTGCTTGAGGCAGGACTGATCCAAACTTTCTTCTCTAACACATATCCCATATGCATCACAGGGATTTTATCCCCTTCTACAGTATGTAGAGATTCTGATTGTGTGGACATGTTCAAATTTTGGAAGTGTATCCAAATTTGGGAGGTGGGCTCCTGAAAGAGGATGACAGTGCCTTCCTTCCCTGGGGAAGGAAAATATCCGGCCCTAGTGTTGGTGGGGCAGATGGTGGGCTGCCCAGGGGAGGTGAAGGCCAGCAACAGCTTTCTGCAGCGCTTCCCTGTCTCCCCAGTGCACCTAGTGCCCTCCTCAGTGCTCCCCAGTCTTCTCAGTGCTCCCAGGGCCACACCACTCCCCAGCACCTACCTTCTAGTGGTCCCCAGTCTTCCCAGTGCCCTCTCCCGGTGGTCCCTCACTGATCCTCAGTTCCCCCTCCAATGTTCCCCCGTCTCTCCACTCAAATGGTGGCACCTTCTTGGGCAGTGACATCCCAGCAGGCATCAATGACTCTGTGGGTGGTTGTCATGTGAAAGGGGAAGGGGTTTGCCTGACCCTTAGAGAGGGGAGATTTTCTCAACCCTTAGTGATTTATTTGTCTGTCAGTGCCCCAGGGAAGACAAAACCTTTATGTCCGACCAGTCTGTTGGCATCTTGTAAGGGGAGACCCTTCACTGAACAGATTCACAAGATTGGAGGGTGATTCCACCGCCCTTTTTGGTGGGGGGTTAAGCCAACAGCATGGAGACCCCTCAGCTGGCCTTCCCAACGTGTTATCTGCTGCTGGCAACTGCCAGCATCTCTAAAGGCTCACTCTAAGAGTTTATGGAATAACACTCTTTACTAAAATAAATTGTGACAGGTTAATAAGGTTTGAGGATCATCTGACTGCAAAAATGTGTTTAAAGCAATCTACTGTACTACAAAGCAAGCACAAACAAAAACTCTAATCATAAAAGCAGCATTTAGTGTGCATAGAGTATGTTTCTTACCCAATAGGTGTCCCTATAGGGGGGAAGACAGGTTCAGCCTGTTGACTGATCCCAGCAGTTTTGTTGGAGTCTTCCTCAACTTTTCCTCTATTCCCAACTTACTTTTTTTTGGATTTCTGATTGGTGTAAAGTTCTCCTGCCATGCCTAATGGGGGTGGTGGGGTGGTGGATGTGGCTTGGCATTTGAAGAGAGGGTTTGACATGATCGTTGACTCAGCAGCAGAACACTTTAATCCATTTCCTTTGGCTGACAGGTACCGCACGGTCTCCTGAACAAAGTACTACAAAGTCCCTCTTTCTGCCAGGATTTGAATGGAGGGGGCTGCATAGTCTCTGCTCCATCCCTCTGAGCAGATGCTTATCTGCTGTATGGGGAGCATCCAGGGATTTTACTCTAGAATTCTTAGTCTTCCCTAAGTTTTAACCCTAGTGGTGGGTTAAAACAAGTTCATCCCACAGTGGTGGCATCTCCACAGGCACCTTTCTCTCTCAATTCTCTATCACCTGTGCCAGGAAATGCACTCTGGAGATCTCTCAGGTGCCTGAATTCTCCTCCTGGCAGGTAGCAGGGGGGTACAGGTGCCCCATGAAGATCAGGGCTTGTGAAGGATCCTCACCTACTGTTCCTCCTGTAAAGGAGGTCTCTAGCAGGTACCTACTAACATGGTGCCCACCTTGAGCAGAAGGCAACCCACCTCCTCATCCTGAAGAGCCCGTGTCCCCCCCACACAGCTCCCCAACCGCCATGGTCCCAGCACGGTCCTAACCATTAGATGGCTCCATCACCAGGCCCAGGCCACTCAGTCCAGGTGGGAACAGCCCCAGTGGTATTTATTTTGTATCCACGGGTGGACCTCAGCAGGTGAGCAGCCTCCCGGACCTGTCACTACCAGCCACGGCTGCAGCCACCACTCCAGCCCTTGCCCCTTGGCCGCTGGACCAGCACCTGGAGCTGAGGTGGGAGAGAGAGGTGTCTGGTCACAGGGGCAGGGAGAAGGCACAGAATTCCTGTGGGATTGGCTAAGGCACCAGGGATGGAATCACCTCAAGGTGTCCATGGAGTGGGAGATGCCCCTGGTGATTTCCCAGCCTATGAGAAGGTCCTATGGTGCAGCTGGGGCAAAGCCAGGTTGGGCTGAGACCTTGGGTGTCCCCTACAGGTGTCCTGTACAGGTGTCCCTGGTCAGGACAAGGTGTCATGGGGTAGAACTCTACCAAGAAAGGGCTCTCAGGGTTTGGGAAGCAGGCAGCCAGCCATCAGAGTCCCTCTGCCTCCAACCAGGACTTTTCTGTCCTACAGGGGAAGCCAATGCTGGGTGTCCAAGCCCAGGTCAGGGGGTTCCAGCCCAAAGGCAGCCTCCAAACCCACTTCTGTCCCCCAGGGCTGCCTCAGAGGAGGGATGGGGGGAATTCTATCCCTTTGGAGTTACCTGCAGAGCTGCTTCTGTTGCTCCTGCCGCCGTCGGTTGTTCTCAGCCAAAAACGTGAAGATGTTCCTCCGTGTCTGATGTGGCTCCAGCGCATGGAGCACCTGGATGGCTCGTGGGGAAAGGTGCCTGCAACAACAAGAAATCATTCTCCCAGAGCTGCCATCTGCCTCTCCCCTCATCCCAGCCTGCACCCACCTGGTCCCACATCCACCCGTCTGGTCCTGCATTCACCCACCTGGTCCCAGGCTGGAATCTCTCCACCATCTCGTCCACGGGGAGGGAGGTTCCAGCCCTCCCCCATGTCACAGTGACCCCCTTTCTCTGGGGCTGGAGTGAAGGATGGGGAGCCCAAGGACCTCCAGGGCCAGATACCTGCCAAGGAGGGGACGCTTTCAGTAAACCAGAGGTGACACTTTCTAGTATCCCTGGAAAGGTGGGAGCCGGGAGACTCCGCACCACACCATGGCTGATGGCTGATGGTGCTTCCCAGAGCTCTCCCTTGGGGAATGAGTGGGCAAACTCTGCTCTGTGGTTGGGTGATCCCCAACTTCCCCCCAAGGAATCCCATCTCCTTCAGTCCTAAGAATCCCCCCAAAGCCCCAGGATACTCACAATCCCCAGGGCATACCAAACCCTCTCAGAGACCTCCCCCCTCCATCCAGGTCCCCAGGGACTCCCATCTCCCTGGGTCCTAAGAGTCCCCCAAAACCCCAGGATCCCTCCAATCCACAGGGATTACCCCCAAACCACCCCAGGGACCCTCAAAGCCCCCTGAGATACCCTAAGCCCTCCAGGAATCTCCAACCCCTGCAAGAGACCCCTCCCCCATCCCCCAAAGGTCCTTCCCTGATCCCCCTGAGGTCCCCCCTGACCCACAATTCCACCCCCCGTGCCCCTGTTCTGGGAGGGTTCTATGGGCAGCCAAGGTGCCCTCACACACAGGGTCCCTGCCCATACCTGGGGCACCTGCTGATCCTCCCTGGCAGCCCAGGCTTCCCACGCCACCCATTCCACCTTCTGCTCTCTCCAGCAGGAATTCCCGTGCTCCCACTCTGCAGACAGCTGACAGACCTCCTGGAGGTGTCAGGCACAGTTAGGCTCAGCTTTGGAGGAGCTTTCTTCAGGTCTGATCCATCTGGCACATACCTGCAGCGCTCTCTGGCAGTTCTCAGAGGCCAGGAGTGTGGTGTCGAGCCTGACCAAAGGAGCTGACTCCTGCCCACCTGTCTCCCCCATCCCAGGAAAGATGCCTGGGGACAGGGGGAGCACACTGCAGAGACACGAGGAGGAGTCAGCATGAGCACAGGGCAGGCAGATATCCTGTTTTCCTCGCGGGCCAAAGCTTCCCAGGTGTTGGAGAGAAGCAGAGAGCTGGGGCTTTTTCCCGTAGATCTCTCTGAGTCACTGCAGCCCAAATGTCTGAGGAGGCTATCACCCAGGGGTGCAAGGATCCCTCCCATCCCTTCCCATGACGGTCTCACCTGGCAGGTGGCTTCATCCCTGGCTCTTGCTGCCTCATGCCTGGCCTCTGGTTTGGTAGCATGGGGAGGGAAAACTTGTCAGGATGTTCCTGTGCCCCTGGGAAAGGAGGCAGCTCTTGGGAACAGCCCTGTGAGGGTGAGTGATCATGAGGCTGTGATCACCCCATGTGGGGCAGAGCAGCAGGGACCCATCCTGTACCTGTTCTGACCCTGTGCTTCTCTGCAACCTTCGTGTGCCAGGTGGAAAAAGCCTCAGACACAGCAAGCTGAAACCTGGAATCACAGAATGACAACATACTGAATTGGAAGGGACCCACAAGGATCATTGAGGCCAACTATAGAAGCGAATGATGACACAGGCTTGAGGAATGGCAACCCCCACACCCTGCAGCATAGAAAGGAACCGTGAAGCCACTGAGGAAGCACACTCACCGGGGGAATGAGTGAGCCCATGCAGCCTGCATCCCCCCAGCAGCGGTTGCTCCATCATTGAGACCAGCACCCGGCACACACAGCCTCTGCAGAGTGACATGGAGCCATCAGGAGATTCCCATGGAGGAAGGAGACCTGTCTCCTGCTCCTTTAGGAGCCACTTCTCCAACCCCCTTTTCCCAAACCTCATTCGTGAATATTAGGATTGTGGAATCACAGAATCATTAAGGTTGGAAGAGCCTTTGGAGACCATCAAGTCCAACCAAGGACACCACTAAACCATGTCCCCAAATGCCACATCCACGCGTCTTAAATACCTCCAGGGATGGTGACTCCACCACTGCCCTGGGCAGCCTGTACCACAACTGGACAATCCTTTACACGAAGAAATGTTCCCTAAAATCCAACCTAAACATATCCTGGTGGAATTTGTCCAGTCACTTCTTATATGGGAGAAGAGACTGACCTCCACCTGGCTACACCTTCCTTTCAGGTAGATGCAGAGAGCAAGACAGTCCCTGCTAAGCCTCCTTTTCTCCAGGCTGAGCCACCCCAGCTCCCACAGCTGCTTCTTATGAGACTTGTGCTTCAGCCCCTTCCCCAGCCCTGCTGTCCTTCTCTGGACACACTCCAGCACATCAATGTCCCCAGATTCCAGCTCACAGTGAGCAGCAGAGCCACCCAGGTGTCCCAGTTCTCCAGCTTCTTGACGCAGCTGCGGTGGAACCGCATGCAAAGGACATTGTCCTGGCATGACAGGACGCCAATGTCCCCAAAGGCAAAGGCGAGGTGCTGCCTGTCCCTCAGCTGAAAGGAGTATAGGAGGACGGTCTCCTCCACACAGTCCCTCAATACGTCTGGCGGGAGGGACGTGGTCTGTGACAGCCACCAGTAGTCCAGTGGTGCGATCTCAATGTCACCTGTAAGGAGAAAGAGGATGAGCATTGTCATGACCACAGCTGAGTAAATTTCCACATGAAATTCACTGCAAAATGCCAGAGAGAAAGAGGGATTTGTTTTTGTCCCCCAACTTTGGAGGCAATTCCCTCCCCCTCCCAAAGAGCAGGGGCACACTCCTCTCCCAAATGTGGAGCAGGATCCCTTCTCACCAGGGATCATCACTGTGGGGAACATCAGCTCCCGCAGACAGGACACATCCATGTCCAACTGGAACACAGGTCTTCGGACTACATACACCTCTTCTGCACCATCAACTTGCTCAGGGACCACAGCAAAGGTCCCTAGTCCTGGGACCAGGACACCCTGCCCAGGAAGAAGATAAAACAGCTGAGTGAATACTTTGGAGATAAGAAATGTTAAAACTGTGGGAAAAATGAAAATCCCACATTCTCTATTTTCTTACTTCCTCTCTTCAAATTATTTGCCAAAATTCCTTGGCTAAAGAAGATCCAAGGAATTCAAACCCAGGGAATGATTCCTGGGGATGATCCTTGGCATAGACCCAGCATGATCCTGAGTTTCTCCAGTCCTGGAAGCTTGAGGCACATGGGGTTTTCTTGGGGTGGTGCCATGATGCTCAGGGAGGGGGGACTACAGGGGACCAACATGCCAGCCCACCTTGTTCCGCTTCATCTGTCCCAGGATGTACACAGACACGACATCCCAGATGGCCACCACCTCTGAAAAGTACCAGAAAGAGGTATCAGGTTCCACTTGCGGCATCTCGGAAGTGACATCCAGGAAGTGACAGATGGGCCTCATAAAGAGCCTGGACTAGGTCGTTCCCCAGGTTCTGCCTCCCTCTGCTCACTGAGCAGGGCTGGGACAGAACGGGGGATGTGAGAAGGGCTCAGGACCAGGGCTGTGATCATCCAACCCCCAAAAAGAGATGGGACCCCAAAACCCAGGTTGGTGTCACGAGAGGATCCTATGGGAAGAACCAGAAGGTCTCCCAAAGGAGACTAGTTAAAGGTAAAGGGCTGATGCCCAGCCATCTCCTGAGAACCCAGTAAAAGCTGTTGGACCTCCCATGCCCCAGGACCCCAGACCCCTTTTCACTCCAGAACCGGAACTGTGAGAAGTGGCAGGTCCCATTGGAAGCTGGCCCTGGATGGGGGACACGCCATGCTCACAGGAGCCTTGAGGCAGCCCCAACCCTGTCCAACCATTCCACAAGCCCTCACGGAGCTCCCTAAATCTTCACCCTCAGTGGAGAGCTGCAGGAGTGTGGGGAACAAGCAACTCCGCTTCCTGTTGATGCTGACAGTGCAGCACCCCTCCATCCTGCTCCCCAAATTCCTGTCTGATGACCCCTGCCCTGCCTGTCCCCAAGGGCCAGAACAGCCCCCACAGCCCTAAAAACAGCCCCCTGACCCCCCCTCCCGGCTCCGGGCAGGACCCAGCAGCCCCCAGTCCTCGCTGTGGAGTGCACCCAGTGATGTGGGGTGCCACTTTGTGACATCACCAGCGGCCTGGGAAGGTGCATTATGACATCAGCAGGGAGATGGCACAGCAGGGGAGCGGGGAGGGGATTGAGGAAGGAAGGGCCTCTCCTGGTTCACCTCAGCCAGTTGTCACCAGGTGTCATTGCTGCTGAGCTGGGCCGTGATCCTACAGATAATCATAGACAATAACAGATATAAATATATAAAAATACACAAATAATATCTATTTAAAAAGAATCATGAATCATTTTTATGGGCTTTAACTTCTATGAAATTTCAGGGATTAAGGGCTTTTCCCACCCAGAATGCTCTTTTTTAACTCAAAAAAACTTAAAATAAGGTTTTTTTTTTTCTTAGTTAAAAATCCAACAAACCCAAGGAATACTGGAGAAAAATTAGGGCTTCTGCTGGGAAAAAAACCCTAAACCAACGAAAAGGTGATAAGGGTTCTTTGATTTAAAAAAAATATATCTAAAAAAGCAGGAGATAAAGTGGTTTTTCTTTAAAAAGCCCCAGGGAATAAAGATGTTCTGGGGAAAAATAAGGAATAATAAGGTTTGGAGGGATATCAAAATTGAAATAAAGGTGGAGTTTTTCTATTAAAGAAGAAATAAATAAACTTTTTTCCTTACTAGAGATAATAACAGGTTTTTTGCTGAAAAATAAGTAGTAATTAACAAATGAGGATTTTTAAAAATTAAAATAAGACAAATAAAATGGGTTTCTTCCTTAAAAAAAATATCGCTAAAAAGAGGGAGTTACAAGGGCTCTTATTGTTAGACAAATTAAAGGTTTTGTCTCAAAAATCTTCCTTTTTAAACTCGAAGGGGCTTCTTCATGTTTTCCTGAGAAACCCCTGGCGGAACTTCCCATGGGAAGGGATGGGCTCAAAAAAATGCAGATTTTGGGTTTTGAATCTGTGGAATGGGCATGGGGGTAGGGACAGTTCATTGGGTTGCAAAAGTGACCCTGAAATTCTGGAGAATTTGGGAATGGGTAGCTTGATCTGTCACTGACAGGGGATGTCATGATAGGGATCCCCGCAGGGATGTTGTTCTGGATGTGGGAGCCACATTGGTATCCCCAGTAGGCCCCACTTTCCCCTGGAATCCCCCTACCAAGTTTCATTGCTGGATTCAGCAGGTGGTGACTATATATATATATCTTTCCACTTTTATCCTTTATTTCTCTTCCTTTCCTTATACATTTCCTCAAGTATTATTTTATGCTTTAATATTGCTGTACTACTATAGATGATAACACCCAAAACGGCAACAAACCTATTTACTTTTGACACAAAATTGTTCTAAAATAAACCCCACATATGTATATATATATTTACAAACACTGTTTCACTGTAGTCCACCCCAAGGGATTTATTAACAAGAAACTGGGTTACCCTGCCCTTCTGGGACGCTTCGTAAAAGGTTGGAAAGAACCTTTAATATCATCTCATTCCAGCCCCATGCAGGGGCAGGGACACCTTCCACTAGACCAGGTTGCTCCAAGCCCCATCCAACTTGGCCCTGAACACTTCCACAGACAGGGCAACCACAGAATCTGTGGCAGGTTTTCCAGGAAGGCTTTGGTGCTGGTAAGAGCTTGTGCAGAATTCCCCTATTCCAGTCCTCAAGTTGCTGAAGAGGAATTTAGATCCCTGCATCACCCCACTGATTTGAGTGCCAGCAGTTTGTAACAGTCACTCTCATTCTCCTTCCTTGCCTGAAGCATTGTTATCCTCCTGCAGCAGTGACAGACAAAGGGATGTAGGGGCTGTGCAGAGGACTGGAGGACTTGGAGGACTTGGGATTGTTTCCTGACCTCAGTGTGCCAGTCAGCACCACTGCATCTCTGCCACAGGCAAACCAGAGCATCTTTCTGGTTCCTGTAGCATATTTCCCTCATCTAACAGGGTCTGTGGCAGAGTGGGAGCATTTTAATTATCCTTTGGCAAAGTTTTAAGCTTATTCTTAATTGGTTTTAATTCCTCAGGGGAACATCTGGGAACAGATTTTTTGCATTTCCTTCATCCTTGAGATGATCAAGGGATGGGAACCTTCTACTTCGTCGAGGTCAAGTGTCAATAAAAAAAGGCAGTTGTATTATTTTGTCAATGTTAATACCTGAAACTGTGAAATTTCCCTCCCCACTAGTGGTGTTACTATTTAGTGCACTTTTTGCTGCTAAATAAATGGTATAGTTTCTTTGTTTCTCAAAAAAAGGAAATATTTACAGATAAGGACCAGTTAAGCAAAGGTCCTAAATGTATCCCCCTGTGTGAGGAACTGGGCAGTTCCCAGCCTCAGTCACCACAGGGGCACCTATCAGGTTTAGGCTGAGCAATGCTGGACAAATATGCCGGTTTTGCAAGTGAAGTGATGCAAGAATAAATCCAGGTTTTTAAAAGTTTCCCTGTGTGCTGTCATGTTCTTGAGAAGTGCTGGACAAGAGATGGTGTCAGGAAATCTCTAGGTGAGTCTCTCTTCCCCCAGGCACCAATCTCTGCTCTGTGTGACAGGACTTGAGGGAATGGCTGGAGCTGTGTCAGGGGAGGTTTAGGTTGGATATTAGAAAAAGGTTCTTCCCCCAAAGGGTGGTTGGGCACTGAACAGGCTGCCCAGGGCAGTGGTCACAGCACCAAGGTTGCCAGAGCTCAAGGAGCATTTAGACAGCACTCTCAGGGAAATGGTGGGATTGTTGGGGTGACTTGTGCAGGGCCAGGAGTTGGACTTGGATGATCCTTGTGGGTCCCTCCCAACTCAGAATATTCTGTGATTCCATGACTATCAATGCTGCCAACACTCGCCTTGCTCCTGAGATGGACCAGGAACAGACGGGCATGACTGGAAAAGTCTCTAACCCACTCTAAAAGCATAGGGCAGGGAGAAAAAGAGAGAGATAGATAGAAAAAGTTCTGGTTCCAGTATTGATCTATCTTGATGTTAATCCTGATTTCAGCATTGATCCAGCTGCATCGCTCTGGCCGATGGGATGTCCACTTGGCCTCATCTGCAGGCCCAGCCATGGGCCCAGGTGTAGCAGGGAGGGAGGATGCTGAACTGAAACGATACACTGTTGAAAGCTCAACAATATTTATTACCAAAAAAGTAGCCAACAAAACGAAAACCCGAGAGAGAGGAGGGAGGAGGAAAATAAGCCCTCAGTACGACTCCCCCGCTAACTCAGGTGTTGCTTACAAAGTTATCTTACTGACCCCAGAATGCCTAGAATTACCCGTAGCAGAAGCTGCATCCTCGGAGTGTTGGCAGGCTCACAAGGTGGTGGGCGTTCCCGCAAAAGGCAACGTTGGCCTTGGATGTGAAGCTTGAGTTCCACTCCCAGCACAAGCTCTCTGCTTTTTATGCAATTAATTGGTGACGTCTACCTGCTTGGAAAGAAAGGCCTGAGCCCCCCTCTCTCACCTGCCGTTGGTGCGCCACTCTCGGCACTACGCGCCCAGCCAGGGCTTGCGGGGCGGGCACCTTTGGTCTTGGATGAATCTTAGTTAGTATCCAATTTTGGCCCTCGGCTGGCCCCCGGCGGTGCGGCGCGCCGGCCTGCCAACGACTGCCCTTCCCGCCCCGAAAGAAAGGCCTGAGCCCCCTTCTCTCACCTGCCGTTGGTGCGCCACTCTCGGCACTACGTGCGCCCTATCTGGAAAATAAAAAACAAAAATGCACAAGAGAAAGGACTTCTATGCGTAAAATTGGCATCTTTCATCCAACACCTAATACAACCTTCTTCCTAGGCTGCTTCAACTTTTCTCCGTCTGGGGTACAACGTGTCCACTTATTGGGGGGATAAAAAAGAAAAAAAATGTTAATCAGGTCACCCACATGGTCACTGAGACCTTAACCATTTAAAAGATCTCATTTACCCTGAGCAAATGAGAACTCTGACCACAGCATACAAGTAGACAAATGACAACCCAGCTTCAAGGCCCTGCTATCCAAGTACCATCAGCTCCACAACACTCAGCTCTAATGATTGCACACGAGTTACGTACACCCGCTCCATCCAGCAGGACTGTACAGCCATCGGCTCGACTGTCTAAGGTAACTGACATGTTGACATGAGACACTGAGCAATATTCCATCTACCCACTGATCCACAAGGCAGGGCAGAGCAGCTCCAGGCTGACTCCGAGTGAGACATCTCGTACCCGTGACAACACAGACCGTGTGACACAATTAAGAGACGAACCTTGCTTTGACAAGATTTGATTGCAAGAATGGAAATGCTGTGGAACACCATGACCTACGGGACTACCATCATAACATGACTAGGCTCAAAGGATCCTGACAAATAAAGACGCTAACAAGATGACCGGTCATAAGAAGGGTCCGTCAAAACCCTGAAGATGGATCCGCGACATCACCGTGTTTGGAAGCTAAGAATGGAACGATGCAGAAAACAAGTCCTCCTGCTTTGTGATGGATGGCTGCGGAGCACCGCTGATGATACGGCCTGGAATGAGGCCTTAAAAGAGGTCTGACTGTAAAAGTCAGAGATCAGATTCCAAAGAAGGCCTGAACCTGCAAAGGAAGCGACTGACAACTTCGGTACTTGGCTACACAGAGAAGACCTTCAAGAACCTAAGGATGATGCCTGATGCTTCCCATAAGCCCCTCGAGGGCAAGATGCAAAAACCCTAAGGACACAAAACACAGACGAGACAAAGGACGTGACACAGACTGGAACTGCTCTGCCCTGCACAGGTGAATCCAATGATACAAAGTAAGCCCTTCCTTTCATGCGTCCAAATAACCTGTAATAGGATACCCATTGCACCGTACTAATTTCAAAAATCCCTCCGGGCGATGCACATACTTGGACCGACTCCCAACCCCTCTCTGGGTCGTTGCTCTGCACTTATCTTTCTGAGAGCTGGGGATGCGAATCCATCTTTGATGCAAAGGAGGGGCACCTGGGCTGGCTCAGAGGT